ACACAGAGAGAGGCAGAGACACAGGCAGAGGGAGAAGCAGGCTCCCTATGGGGAGCCCAATGCAGGACTCGATCCCAGGACCCCAGGGTCACGACCTGAGCCCAAAGCAGACACTCAACCGCTGAGCCACCCAAGCGTCCCATAAACTTACTTTCTTTAACTTTTCTTTCTAGGGACTTTATTTCTAACATTTTCAATGGTTGATGATGGTTATTTTATGACTTTCTGAAGTTTTCCTGTTTCACATGCCGTATTTTAGACAGGCTTTAAGAGGGACACAGGACAGATTCTGGGGTGTTGTAGACCTTATCACACTACTTCCTCAGTTGCCTTAGCCTTCTTGTTCCAGGGCTTCTCTGTGTGAGGTAGGATGTGTCTGAGGAGACGGACACAGGGTTTTGTGTTCCCTCTGGTTTGCAGAGGTCTCTTCCAGGCGTGTGGTTTGGGAATCGCTTGTGCTCTAAAGACTGTGAGAGGAGGCACGAACGTGCTGGGAGACGGGGCTGTGGCTGCACGGGGCCTTCCAGGCGTCCTGAGTCAGCTCTGCTCATAGGACCGATCCTTCACTTCCCCAGCTGACTCCTCAGCATCTCTTCTGTGATCCAGAGAGCTCATTTCATGCTCTTTATAAAGAGAAAGTTTTGGGATCCCTGGGTGGCCCAGCGGTTTGGCGCCTGCCTTTGGCCCAGGGCGCGATCCTGGAGAGCCGGGATCGAATCCCACGTCAGGCTCCTGGTGCATGGAGCCTGCTTCTCCCTCTGCCTATGTCTCTGCCTCTCTCTCTCTCTCTCTCTGTGTGACTGTCATAAATAAAAAAAATAAAAAGAGAAAGTTTTGCCTTTTTTTTGTTTTTGTTTTTGTTTTTGTTTTTGTTTTGTTTTGTTTTTATTAAGTCAGCTCTCCCCGAGAGCGGGCGTCCTCGGGTGGTTCAGCTCCCCTCCGTGTCCCCAGCCTCCGACCCAGTGTCTTCGCAGGCCGCGCTGCAGCCCTTCCCGTGGGCTCGTCGGTCAGGTGGGAAGACGGTACCGTCAACGTTGAGCGTCACCAGAAGGGCCCCGATGCGGTCCCGGGGGCCGCCCTGAGCAGCTACTGCAGGGTCTGGGAGCAGCCCCGGGGGTGTCCTGCCGCAGCACACGCAAGGCCTTTGCTTTGTCAGTTTCTGTCTCTGGGCTGAAATAGGACGTTATTGAGATTTTATGAATCTGTTCTTCACAAGGCTAGATTAGTCTTTGTCTGTTTGTTCTTGAATCTGTTTTGCCAGCCCCAGCAGGTAGGGAGGAAACGGTGACGTGTCTGGAGATTTCCAGAAAAGCCAGTTTATGTTTCAAAGCGTATCCCCCGCCGTTTTCCGCTGCAGATCTTAGGTACTGTATCAGGCCCTCCTATGTTCGACAGGTAATTGCTAGTAGCCCTCATCGCTGGTGAAGGAACACCTAGGCAAGGTAGTCCTTGCTTCAGGGTATTCAATGTGGTCTACAGGGTTCAGCCCTCCTAATTTAATGAGGGAGTCTCCAACCAGATTCTCTGCTCCTGCGCCCTGACCTGCCTTTCCCCGCTGGGGCTGCACACACCCAAGATAACATCATAGGGAACTTGTCTTTAAAGATCAGAGGTAAATATAAGTACAGTGTTAAAAACATCCAGTCTTTTAAGTCTGATTTACCTAGAGTTCTTCTCCTTTTGTAATGAAGGGCTTTCCATGTGCTGCTTTGTTCCTTCATGCTTGGCAGCAATATCTTAGGCAGCCTAGGATCCCATGAGCCTGAACTTTGGGGCAGGACTGCTGGTGTTGCGCACCTCTCTCTGTGAAATAACATGAATAATAGTATTGACCTCTTAGAGCTGAAGTGGGAATGAAACTCTCTAGCTTGTGAAAGTGCTTTGTTACTGGCTTTAAGTACACAGATAGATGGAAATGGCAAGTATTAAGTATCATTATTTATGCCCAGAGTTGCCAAATGCCACGTCTTAGTAATTTTAGCCAGGATATTCAGTAAGACCCATCTCCCACTCTCTGAAATGTTTGTTTCTTCTCTATGTGTGTCTCTATTTCTTTTTATGACTTCCATGATCTCTCAACTCTAGTAGCTTTCTATAACTGGATATAACAGAGAAGCATCTTTTAATAATTAATTACCGCTGCTGTATAATCTTAAGAAAAACCAAATGGGAACACTGTTTAATCTCTTTAGATAACTCACATTATTTATTTTTTTACTGATCAATTCTTTTTTAAAAAAATATTTATTTGATGGGATGGGGAGAGAGAGGGAGTGAGCTCACAAGCAGGGGGAGCAGGAGAGGGAGAAGCAGGTTCCTTGCTGATCGAGGAGTCCAACCTGGAGCTTGATCCCAGGACTTTGGGATCATGACCTGAGCCAAACGCAGATGTTAGCTGAGCTACCCGGGAGTCCCTAATCAATTAATTTTTGAGTCTTTTGCCTACAGTGGACTCAATGATTTTCAGGAAAAAATCTTTCCCCTCCATTGATACCTGCTTTTATTGCTGAGAAGTTATAGTAGGGCTACTAAAGCACTTCTAATTCAGGCACATCTTTTCCTCTTTCTTTTAGAAATGGGTTTCATAGAATTTTAAACTCACTTTGCCTCCAGAAACCTACTGAAAAATATATGATACAGATATGAGAGTTCATAACTGTAAAATAAAGCAAAAACTGCTTTGGTGACTTCTTAAAAAATAATGGGGAATGTGGGGTCATTTATAGTGTGATGATGTGAATTTTGAGAATTTTAGGTACTTCAGAATCAGACTGGCAGTTAGAACTCTAATATTTTCCCTTTAAAAAATCTTCCTCTTTCCACTGACTTGCTTGGAAATGACAAATCACCACATCTTTGGTGTTTTTTTTTTTCCCTTCATCTTTGGGTTTTTTAATGGCCAAGCAAACCCAGCCTTAACTCAGCTGTATGTCTGCAGTCCAAGGCTGGTTGCTCCTCCTGTGCCTTTCTCTCTCTCTCCAAAAGTCCTCTTAGTCAAATTGTGACTATCAACTGAACACATTGTATTAGTTCAGACTTTTGAGATTACAAGTGATAGTCCCCAAGTCACACTCATTTAAGAGTGGGTGCAGGGGAAGGATGCCCTGTAGCCAGGAAGGATGACATCAGCGTGCCCTTCAACGTCTGCATCTCTGCAGAGGGCCCATAGCTCAAGTTCCTAACCCCCTCAAACTGTGCAACTGTTTGGAAAGGCTGTGATCTTTTCTCAGCACCTCAAAGCAGGCCTCTTATTCTATTGACCTTGCCCTTCTGTGTGTCCCTCCTTCTGCGTGCGCTGGTCTAGTAAACTCCTGCTTATTCTCCCCGACCTCTTTTCCAACCCTCAGCCTGTGGCGTGTCCCTTTTAGGTGTTCTTTATACCCTATGCTCAGGACTTGTGCATGCACTTATCAAACTTTATGGTAATAGCTTGTTTATTTGTTAATTTCCTAACTAGTCTGTGGTCTTCTAGAGGGTGGGAACTGTGTCTGATTCATGCTTCCATTCCTTGTCCATGGTCTAATTCATAAATAGAGAGAACTGTTTGTTGAATGAGTGAACATGGGATCTACGGTCATGTTGGTGACTTTGCTTTCTGGCCTGAGCTCAGGACAATGCCAAAGCCTTTCCCCTAATGTTATCCGAGCCCAGCTTCTAACGTCCTTCATTCTAAAGCCAGACCAGCGTCCTCTTCCACAAACAGACTCAGTAAAGAAATGTGAATATGCATGCAAAAAGCTCTTTAGGTCAATTGTTTTGGTAATAATTAAGGTTGCATGCACTATCTAGATACAAATGATAGTGACTTAAAATATCTTTATAAAGTGTGGAAGTGACCCTTACTTAATGGGCAGCCAGATCAACTATATCAACAGTTGATATGAACAGAGTGGCAGAAATTGGTCAGGAAGGTGCTTGACTGCACATTCATTTTTAGTGGTTTATTTTTCATCTTTATTCCATTGACTCCAGTTCTTTTGATGAACAGCCTAACAGCCTTTTAAGTAAGGTGAAAAACCTTTTATTAATGCATGCAAACTTTGTCAATTTGTCCTTCCTTTTCAAGAGTAGTAATAGTATTAAAATCTTTAATAACTGCCTAATACACAGTTGATCCTTGAACGACATGGGATCGTTCCTGCGTCCCCTTACACCATATAGCACTGAAAATGTATTTTCTTTTCCTACAGTTCTCTTAACCTTTTCTCTAGCTTACTTTACTGTAAGAATACAGTATGTAGTGCAAATAACATGCAAAATATGTGTTAATTGACTCTATGTTATTGCTAAGGCTTCAGGCAATAGTAGACTATTAGTAAAGTTTTGGGAAGAGTCAAAAGTTATATGCAGATTTTTGTCTGTGTGGGGGTTTGGTGCCTCTAATACCCACACATTCAAGGATCAACTTGAATATAGTTATTTTCCATTTGTCCCAAAGTTGAAGTTTTCCTTGTTGGTTCATTAAGACCTTTAATGTGGGACATGTGGGGGCGCTCAGTCAGTTAAGCATCTGCCTTTGGCTGAGGTCATGATCCCAGGGTTCTGGGATCCAGTTCCACATCAGGCTCCCAGCTCAGCAGGGAGTCTGCTTCTCTCTCTGCCCCCTCCCTCCCATTTGTGCGCTCTCTCTCTCATCAATAAATAAAATCTTTAAAAAAGCCTCTACTGTGTGGGTCTCACAAAATAGATAAGGGTCTTCTCTTTCTGACATTTTAGTAACCAGCTGTTATTAGACTCCTCAGTGGTATGAGCCCATGAAAACCATTCACAGCAATAGCTTTGGTAGATAGAAACTAAAAAGCTGCTTTTTTTTTCTTTTTTATGTGGTGATTTTCTTTATAGCCCTTGACACCTAGCATTCTGAGCCTTTGTGATGCTGAACCATTTTTAATGGGACTTTGTTATGGTTCTAAGAATTTTTGTCATCGGAAACAAATGGAACAGTCTGTTTTATTGACCTACTTATGCATTCCTTATTCTTCTCCTTCTTTTTTTTTCAGTGAGCATGTTTTTGAACACATTAACACCGAAGTTCTACGTGGCCCTGACAGGCACTTCCTCACTAATATCAGGGCTCATTTTGGTAAGTGGTAGAGTCCTTCCTATTTAAAAGCATGCTGATTACTAATATGTCAATATATGTACAGGAAATAATTCTGGAAGAATATATACCAGCAGTTTACAGTGATTTATCTTGCAAGTGTATATATGTGGGGTGGTTGGACTTACAAAAGCCTTCCACTGCTCAGATTACGTATTTCTAAAATATTTGAAACAAAATTTAAATAGTCACGTGTTACTTTGTTGAAGGGGAAGAGCAACGCATAAATAAAACGGAACATAAAGGAAGACAATTCTGAGTCAAATTCTAGTGTCTGAGATAACTGAAAAATACGTGCAACTCAGTTCAACTACAAATTTTTTTCATCATTCTTTTCAAAATGGATTATTGGCCATAATCAAGATGAGCAGAAATACAGCCTAGTTTGTTTGTTTGTTTGTTTCTTCCTTTCATTTTGTTTTTTAGATTTTATTTAAATTCAGGTTAGTTAACGTATACTATACCTTTAGTTTCAGGGTAGAATTTAGTGATTGACCATTTGCATGTGACACCCAATGCTCATTACATCAAGTGCCCTCCTTAATGCCCAGTTACCCCTTCCTGCCCATCTCTTATTCAGCACCCCTCAGACTGTTCTTTATAGGTAAGAGTCTCTTATGGTTTTTCTCTCTTTTTTTGTCTTATTTTATTTTTCCTTCCCTTCCCCAAGTTTATCAGTTTTGTTAAATTCCACATGAGTGAAATCAGAGGGTATTTGTCTTTCTCTGATTGACTTATTTCACTTAGCATAACACACTCTGGCTCCATCCATGTTATTGCAAATAGCAAGATTTCATTCTTTTTGATAGGCTGGGTAATATTCCATTGTATGTATATATACCATATCTTCTTTATCCATTTGTCCATTGATGAACATCTGGGCTCTTTCCATAGTTTGGCTATTGTGGATAGTGACATTGGAGTGCATGTGCCCCTTCCCATCACTATTTTTATATCTTTTGGGTAAATACCCAGTAATGCAATTGCTGGGTCATGGGGTAGTTCTGTTTTTAACTTTTTGGGAAACCTCCATACTGTTTCCCACAGTGGCTGCTCCAGTTGACTGACAGTCCCACCAACACTGTAAGAGGGTTCCCCTTTTCCTGCATCCTTGCCAACATTTGTTGTTTACTGAGTTGTTAATTTTAGCCATTCTGACTGGTTTGAGGTGTTATCTCCTTGTGGTTAGCCCAGTTTCTTTAAATGTATTGAGGTGAATGTGCAGTTCTAAGCTTTTTGGCCCTTTATCTTCTTTTCCTTCAAAATTTACATTTCCCCGGGCAGCCCTGGTGGCCCAGCGGTTTAGCGCCACCTGCAGCCTGGGGTGTGATGTGATCCTGGAGACCCGGGATCAAGTCCCACATCGGGCTTCCTGCAAGGAGCCTGCTTCTCCCTCTGTGTCTCTGCCTCTCTCTCTCTCTCTCTGAATAAATAAACAAAACAAAACAAAACAAAACCCCAAAATTTACATTTCCCTATTCCTTCCTTTCAAAAATTCCCAGTAGGCAAAAGCAGTGATAATCATCTCTTAGCTCCATTAGTTTATGCTCTAAATAATTACAAATGTGATAAATTATAACACCTGACATAGTTTTTTTTTTTAAATTTAAGTGACCTTAAAGAGAAGTTTAAGAATTTTTTGTGTGTTTTTTTGTCTACACATAATGCTATAATAACTAATTTTTATAGAGAGAAGAATAAGAAAAAAGATATCACAGAATTAATGTTAAGAGAACAGCACTAGAAATACACAAGTTTTAGGGGAAAAGGCCACAAAAATGTGAAACAAATACATAGATGAACCTAGAACAATGGAGAGTTTCAGACGCTTGAGCTTATAGGAAGCCAGAGTAAGCAGATAGAGCAATGTATGCAGGGCAGAAACCCACAAACAGCTTAAAGAAGTGGTGGTGGTATGGCGAGCATTTTTGTGTGTGTGAGGTCAAAGCGTATTCAGGTTAAGCGTGCTCTGCTGCATCACATGGGTTCCTGGACTCAATGGAGGAGATGTTTAAAGTTGATATTACTGGGCCAATAATGTGAAGAACATCAGCAGGAACCACTCCAAGATGGTTTTATAAATGGAATCCACATGGAAAGCCCGATACTGACTGCAGAGACCAAGCCAAGGTGAAGGGAAGCATATTAAAACTTCTCCTTGAGGATCCCTGGGTGGCTCAGCAGTTTAGCACCTGCTTTCGGCCCAGGGCGTGATCCTGGGTTCCCGGGATCGAGTCCCACATCAGGCTCCCTGCATAGAGCCTGTTTCTCCCTCTGCCTGTGTCTCTGCCTTGCTCTCTCTCTCTGTGTCTCTCATGAATAAATAAATAAAATCTTAAAAAAAAATAAAATAAAACTTCTCCTTGAAATGAGCTGAAATAAGAGATGTATAGTAATTTGTACCCTACTGCCTCTTAAATGCAGATCTGCACACCCATCTGTGTCTCTGAAGCCCTCTGTTCCATGGGGACATGAGAAAAACAAGGATACTAGAGAGAGTTGTTGAGTTGTTTGTAAAGCCAGAAGGTGATTTGCATAAGCTCATGCTAGTTTGTGGCAGAGCCAGGCCTAAAACCTAGGTCCTCAGGTTCCCACCTTGGTATTTTTAATGGACTGATGGAACTTCAAACTTAGAAAATACGTTCGAATGCTTGGTAAATGATTAATAAGTACGTGCTGAAAACATGGCAGCCTTTGAGCATGTATATTTTGGGGGGACATGGAGGAGGTATTACAAGTCTTCATCCAATAATTATTTACATTTAAAATAATGTTTTGATATCTTCTTTCTAAAATATCTTTGAAATATCTTTTGATTAAACAAAAAAAAAGGGAACTTTTGGATACAATTTCGATAGCCATTTCATGCTAAAATCAATAATTCACTCTGATGCAGAAAGTAGGTTTTTGTTTGCATATTCCTCTCTCAGGGATGTTTGCTTAAGAACGTTTACCCACTTAGGTGGTGCTTACTGTGTGCCAGGCACTGATCTAAGCACTTTATGTGCTTCCTCAATGCTCACAATAGTGTGAGGAGGTAATTGCCAGAGATGTTTCCGGTTTGCCACGGCGTAGGCCCCATAGGTAGCCCCTGCAGGTAAGCAGCCTGCGGTAGGTCACACAGGCCACACAGGCCCTGTAGGTAGCCCCTGCAGGTAAGCAGCCAGCAGATGGAGCAAAGCAGGAGCTCAGCCCGGGCGGGCTGTGGCTCCGTTCAGCACCTTTTGGTTACGTTCCCTGCGGTTCTCCCAGCTTGCTGAACAAACGGCGGGTCTGGATTTTACCTTGGTGTGGGTTCGCTGGGCTATAGATTGGTCGCCAGGGCGCGGGTTATTTCCTTTCACCCTGGTCGGCTAGGCCAGCAGGCCTTCACCTTCCAAGTCGGGGGGGGTGGGGTGAGGCCCCATCTGCTTCCTCTCCTGTCCACCCGATGAAGGATTTCGGGATTTCGACGGAGCACCTGTCCGCGTGCCGGGCACACCTGACCTGGGAGCCACTGCCCTGCGTCTCAGGCCGTTCGCCCCGCAGCCTTGGGGGGGGGGCAGGGGGGCACCGGATATGCCTGATGTGAGGCTTCGGGCCTCAGAAACCCTCTGATGTTTGAAGATTTTGAAAGGCCTTTCTCAGAAATGCTTGGTCTGTAACGAGGCCGAAATCACTACGACGTGGGAATAGATCCTGACAGCTTTCGGCTCCTGCCTGAGAGGTTATGGGCATTGGTTGTCCTGCCTCTGGGGACCCGGCTTTGCTCGCTCTTGAAATGCACCCCGGGTGGAGGCTTCTATTCAGCCCCTGTTCCTTTCTGCCAAGTGCGATCAGGAGAGGCAGCAATGAGGTAAAGGATCAGGTGCTTAGCGGTTTGTTTCCTGGCTCCCAGAGACAATTAGCTAACTCCTGTCCCCTGAGCGTTGGAAGGAGAGCCAGGCAGTGAGTGCTGGATGCCCCTGGGGAAATGGTTGTTTGGGGACCTCAGGATTCCTATGCTGGAGACTGAAGTTGTCATGCAGTGTGATGTCTTAGAAGAAGAGGGGTAAATACAGACAAAACACCCTGAAAAAAGTCATCTAACTGAACAAATAGGCATGAAAATAAAATGTGTTTGGCAAAGGCTAGTTGTCTTTTACACTAATGTGTTTAAAAATAAATGACTAATCGGTGTATATCTTAGTAGATTTCACTGCTAGTTCTTAATTTTGCAGGTTGAAAGCGAGCAAAGAGTTTGGTTATACCACCTACCTTTCACTCTTCCCTTTTGGTCCTGTGCCCACATCCCCATCTGGCCAGATCTCTCCCTTGCTTAACTCCAAGCAGCCCCTCTTCCCTCTTGGCACAAGCCTTTCCCATCTCAGTCCAGTTCCAGCCACAGGAACTGCACCTGTCATCACAGTCCAAACCCACCAATTTAGTCTTTTAGTTGCTCTGGCAAGGACAGGCCCAGACTGCTTGAAGTAGCCTCTCTGAGCAATGTTTATTTCAATGGAGAAAATTTCTGGGTTTTGTTTTTGTTTTTGAGAATGGTAAGGTGGTTTTGTGGAGAAAATACTCCCCTTAATTTTCTCAAAATGTTGGTAGAATGGAGAAAATGCTGTATGTTGTGTGGGACATTTATACATAGATCCTCACATCCCCATTAACATGGATATAGACATGCTCTTACGCCTACATTTTACACATGTATTAAACAGATATAAAAAGAGACATCTGAGGCATAATTTTAACAAGTGAGAATCAAGAACTAAAAAGGGAGGAAATCCATAAATAAAAGACTTAACTTGTAGATTACATGTAAAAAAATTATGTTTTTGGGCAAGTGTAGATGAGATGACAACTAGGAAGGAATAAGTTGTATCAAAAGGTCCATTTATTGAATTCCTACTCTATGCCAGATATTAAGCACTTTGCATATATTACTTGATTTAATTCTCTTAAAAATTCTAAGTGGTAGATGTAGATAGAACAATGGCTTTATACTGCTGAGTAGA